TGTCGAAACCGTTAAGTTCGATAGGTAATAATTCTTTGTGAAACTTATTCCCATTAAGGTCGATTAAGATGTTTTTTCATACGATGGCTAACAGGTACAAACTTTCCACTAGCAACTTCGACTAATAAAGCATTATCTAGTCTATCAACATGAAAAGCTAGTTTTCTACCAAATTCATGCGATATAAAGGAGTAGTTGGCTCCAGAATCAAATAAAATTTGGGCAGGCAATGTGTTTACGAGAAAGGTACCTGAAGCGACATCAGCTTCATCTTTAGCGGCTTCCAGTGTCATCTGGAATGCTCTCGCCTTTGGCTTTGGCGGAATGTTGGGTCTAGTTGCCTCCTTCTTCTTCGGGCAGTCCCTTGACATGTGTCCCTCCTCACCACAACCATAACAAACTTTCTTAGTGAGGGTACATTCATTGGCATAGTGACCTGGCTTTCCACACTTGTAGCATGTGGCCACTACCTCACATTTTCCATGATGCTTCTTCTTACATTTGTCGCACCATTTCGCTTCGCCTTCACTTCCCCTCGAACCAGACTTCGAAAACTTGTTTTTCTTATTCGACCCTGAAGTTCCATCGAACTTCCACTTTCACTAACTTCTATCCTTTCCAGACCCTTTTCCTTCTGCTGGGCCTCCACATTCTTAGCTGCACGAACAGCCGTTTTCAGAGTAGTTGCCATCTTGACTGTCGGACCAAAGTCGGCAGGCAGTCCATTAGCAAACCTCTCAATCTTGGAGAGTTCCGTTGGCACTAGGTACGAAAATAATTTCATTTTCTCAGTGAATGCCGTAGCGTAGTCGTTTACGCTCATCATCCCCTTCTTCAAGTTTTGGAACTCATTGTTTAGATCAATCAGATCTATCTCTAAACAATATTGCACCCTTAACTGTTCCAAGAACTCCTCCCATGACATTTTCAGGGCTTCTCCTCGTGGCATAGTATCTGCCAACAACTTCCACCAACTCAATACTCCAGTCTTCAGTTATCTAACTGTAAAGACAGTCTTCTGTTTGTTGCTATAGTCGCAACTTTCAAATACCATCTCCATTTCGGAGATCCAATCCATTATCTCAATAGGCTTTGGGCTCCCAGAAAGACTTGGCGGTTTGGCGCCCAAGAAGTTCTTGTACAATTGCCCATCCTTGTTGTTTCTCCTTTCCGGATTGTTTCTTCGTTCTCCTTGAGTCCCAAATTGACTCATAATACGACTATTGTTCCCTTCCTCCGATTGCTCGGGAATCAATTCAGGTTCCTCAATAGGAATGATAGGTTCTTCCCTATTATTATGCAACATCTGTCGCATCTCCTCCCTTTGTTCGACTAGCATAGCCCGAATCATGGCTTGCACTCCAGCCATCGTTATTGGTTCTAGTGCTGCTGCTACAACAGGTATTTGCTCAATCACTGGCGGTTGATTCCTGTTTTCATCCGCGTTTCCAACGCCACACCTTGTTCTCACCATTTTTTTTTCTACACACCGAATAAGGTGAAATTTAGATCTTCATTCATGATAGATTTCAAATCATCCTTATCACTCCGAAACGATTACATGCTAGTTCTCATATCGTATACATACGCTTAGAATCCTAAACACATAAACCTTCAGATCTGGTTGGCAACAAACCGTAGATCCGAACAAATAATATCATATATGGCAACATATAACATTTAGCACATAAAAGTATTTTAGGCAACTTTCCTAAAATTAAACTAGTGCTCGTGCCTAAAATCCAACAGACACACATCTCAAAATTCTACTTAGCATTCTAAGTTTAAGTCTAGAAATCCTACAAATTCCTAGTTCGCTTAAACTAATGCTCTGATACCAAATGTGACATCCCCAAAATCTCGGCCAGAAAAGACCAATTTCATTTATGCTTTTAAAAATAATTTCAGAGTAAATCCATTTGATTTAAAAGTGTTGCGGAATTTGTTCCCAAAACAAAACATGATAAAATAATATTTATCAAAGCATTTCATCAAGAGATGCATTTTCATTATATAATTAAAACTCGGGGTGTCATGTTCCGATACAGACCATAAGGCATAAACGATAACATTAAAAGTCATTCAAAAAATATATACATATACAAACTTGTAAACAAAACAACTCGATGATTCATCCATCTTACGCCCTTGCGCCACTTCCTGTAATACAAATAAAACTGAGTGGGTCAGGCTTGGGAGCCTAGTAAGCATATAGGGTTTTCAACCCACAATAAATAAATTATATTTAATTTCACCAACCAACCACTATCCCGATTACCCATTCCCGTTATCCTCACTTTACGTCCCTAAAACAACATCTATCTCAAGGGACCTAATCTATGATTTTCATCGGGACGGACATTACTGCTAAGGGGTTTCCTCAACAATAGATATCCTAAAGGCAACCATGAGGGGGATAGAGTACACCGGTGAACACATCGTTCACAACACCTACCGGTTATGAACCTGCTAGCGTTCCACGAGACTGTCAAGAAGGAGTCTGTGGTCGTTATCCATACTCCGCTGAATAACTAGGTCAACAACAACAACATCGAGGCCTCTCATCTGTTTATTACACACCAACTATCTACCCATGTTCTACCCAACATATTAGTAGATAAAAATATATATTTTTATACATAGTTTAAAACCTGTATAGCATTTTTATTCAATACATATTTCCCATAACAGATGAGGCATACCCACATAACACGTATTTCACAGAAAACAAATCACATCTATGAGATTGAAGAGAGTGAATATACATTCACGCACATAACAACAAAATTATACACATAACACGTACTTCGTATAAAATACTTCATAATTATGCATTAGAAGAAAGTAACTACACACTCACTTGATCAGAAGATGATCAGACAGCACTACGGCTTGTAGAAGTAGTAATCCTCAGCAGATCTGGAAGATCTCAACAAAAATCGAACTTCTCGCGGGCAGAGCTTCGGCTCGGAAACCGCACTTCTCGGGATCTTCGGGATCTCGGGACTTGCTTCGGGGCTCGGGAATATTACCGGGGCTTCGGGGTACTTCTGGCACGCAAAACGATGCAAAACGGGAGAGAGAAGAGAGAAAAATAGCAAAGGAGCCGACTGCCCTCGCATCCTATTTATAGGAGGCTGAGGCCTCGCAGTACGCGGGGCGTACTGCCTTACGCGGGGCGTAAGCCCCCGAAACGTCATTGCTTACGTACCGAAGAACTTGAGTGCGAGTTTCGACATACCTCGGTGTACGCGGGGCGTACTTCGGATGAGTCCGATGACTCGCCTCCGGATAATACCGAGTTTTAATAATTAAATTTAATTATTAATTATTTAATAAAGTTCGAAAATTCATATCTTCTTCATACGAACTCCGTTTTCGACGTTCTTTATATCCACACAAAGGTGAGACTACGTTCTACAACTTTTGTTTAGACTCCGTCGGCTAATTTTGATTTTATTTTTATTATTTATTTTTAATAGGTCGGAACAGAAAATTTCGTTAAAAATTCATAACTTCTTCGTTTGACGTCCGTTCTCGCCTAACTTTGTATCGCTTCGATACTAACAACGAGATCTTCGATTCTCGTTTACATCACTAAGGCTTAATATCGCTCTAACGTAAATTTCACTTTTTACGTCATTCAGCGTTGTCGGTTCTGTCGCGAAACTTCGACATGTCATAACTTCTTCGTTATAACTCGGATTTCGGCATTCTTTATATCTTCGGAAACCTTGTTTCAACTAGTACAACATTATCCAAAGATATCAAGTTTATTTTATACTTAAATTTTGATGCTTATTTTTATTCTTCATTAATCAAATCACATAATTAAGCAATTAAGCACAAAACACATAATACTCAAATAATACACTTCTATTATTTCAAAACGGGTTACAAAGGTTAACCTAGACTATTATATTAACATTAATGACAGGCCCAGAAACATAGGCGTTACACTTTGTGTTGACACTTTTTCAAACAACTTGTATTCTCAGGAATTCAGTGAAACCAAGTAACTACAAGCTTTTGAGGATGAGACGCTACAACGTTAAACAACTATTTTTACATAGTGTTGTAATCAATTAATGACATATGTAAGACTTGCAACCATGTAATACTTTTTCGATTATGTTTATGATTGGTTGTATTGCTTTGATCACTATTATACTCGTTGTTATGATACAATACATGAAGTCCTCTAACCCCGAACGTTTCCGCCATCCTTGGTTTGGGGGTGTGACATATAATATGTTAAAAGTTAAAGACATAACTTTATAAGTAGAAGTAATATATTATTTTAAAACTGAAATTTAGTTTATTTATGATTGCACTTTATGTTTGATATATATTTAACCTTATTAACAATTTTATAATCATTATTAGAAACACACTACAATTTATCACTTTTAACTATTTACAAAATAATTTTTGGACTGTTTAACATAAACGCAAATTTATATTTATGCTGACCTATAATGTTATATTTAAATTAATAATTTAAGTATTTTATACAAATTGTTCCAAAATTGTATCTTTAAAATGATAATGGTTCACATCCAACAATATATTAAAACTAATAAATTAAGTATAATATATTAAAAGTTAAAAAAACCTAACTTTATAAGTAGAAGTAAATATATTATTTTAATATTGAAATTTAATTTATATATGATTACACTTTAGATTTTATAATCATTTAACGTTATTAACCAACTTATAATTATTATTAGAAAGAAATTGAAAAGTTATGAGAGTTCAAATGAATGTGGTGAAAGGAAAAATGCATGGAAGTTTCAAATGCATGTAGTGAAAGAAAAAATGTTTCCTATATAAAGATTAGGAATTTGCAAAATCTAAGTGTGATATATCATCTCTATATGTACTCATGATATTCATAAAATGGATATGAATGAAGAACTGAGTATTTTTAGGAAGTTACAGACGGCTACATGATAGTTGGTACAAACGGTACCCTTTCCAGAAGGCATGGCAAAACATTAAAGAAACAAAAAATATATATTGTATAAATATATCAATCGATGACAAATTACACGATTTAACTAAATTAAAAATCAAAAACCTTGATAAAAACCACATACTCTGAAATGATGTCCCTAGAGAAATAAATTAAGGCTGCACGGTCCTGTTGAGTCATTTTCGTGAAATAATCATGACACCGCAATTCCATACATAAAAGTTATGCCCGCGTACACTTAAACCACTTGCTCCACATGCATGACCTTTTAGCCTCTTGCTCCCTCTCAACCTCAGCGTCGGCCTCAGCCACGAACTCGAACTCGAGCTCGAACTCCATCTCGACCTCGACTTCATCAACTTCATCCTCATCATTAAGGGTGGGATCATTGCACGTAGATGTTTCATTTTCCTAGCATTCAATATTAATTGAAAGGTCACAACTCCTTTAATTTTGCTAAATCATAAACTAATCAAGAATTATTATGATAATGTTAACATTAATGTGGTGAGAAAAAGGTTTGGGTGTCAAAAATCACACCTCCGGTACGTGACCAAGTATGACTGGCTGCCTTTGGGAGAAAGCTGTGAAACGGATTCCAAATTCTGATGAAAAGGAATAAAAAGTAATACGTTAGTTATCATTTACATGCATCCACTTGGGCGAAAGTAGTTGCAGCTAGGTTTCCCAATGTGTTGGTCCTTGTTGAGATCTAATCCTTTATATTTATATGATCTAAAATATCAGAAAAAAACTTGATAATGGACCTATTAGCGATAAGAATAGAAGATAGATATGTTATCTCCTGTAAAATAGTATAGTCTATTATATTTTCCATTTTTCCTGTACTAAATCAACCCATTTATGCGGATCTATACTTTGAATAGGACTGATACACTTAAATTTTTAAAACTGGTTTAAATTTTATGAAGATAAACTCTAATTTTAATCTATGAATTCTTGGCACATACAAACAAGATTAAAAGTAACACAGGATCCACAAAATATTCAGTAAAAATGATATCTACCTTTATAGTGGGTGTTGTCTCGAAAAATATTAGGATAAACATCATTAGCATCGATACCACGTAACATAATTCGCCTAATGCTTAGGATGTAATATTCTCCTGTTGCTAACTGATATCCGGTGAGATCTCCACCAATTATGTGATTCCATGATTTGTAATAAGTCAGCACATCTTCTTCAGCAGTATTTCCAGCATCATAAACAACCTCCACCCCACACTCCCATGCAGGAGAACCAAAATACGAGGTTCTTCTTACTGTAATAGAAACCTCGTCACCACCTTCCATCTCATTTATTCCAAACATCCAATGGCTTAACACCGTGTAACACCCTTCTTCACCTACATGAACGTCACTACTGCAATGTTCGTAGAACCAGGCGCGGTTTTTTGTTTTATTATGAATGATGATCATAGGCAAAAATCTATGTGTATAAACATAGCAGAAATTAAATCCTCTGAGCCTGTTAGGAGAAGATGGAATGTTAAATGATATTGATTCTCCCTCGCTTCTACACCTAATCCATTTCGGCATATCTTTCCCCAAGTAAATAGTGCTGAATATTCCAAATTCATAAAACATCTGCCAGATAAACCCAAGCTTAATTAGTCACCATAAATTAGCTACATATTCACAAAACGACATATAATTAACCAGATAAAACCTGAATTTGATGTTCCGTTGATTCTCTACCATAAGAATAATGTCGCACACCCTTTTTGTTAAGAAAGTCGAGTTTATTCCAGCCCAAACTATGTAATACCTTTTCCTCAACACTTGCCATAGGTTGGATCTTAACGATGCCTTCAATTTCACAAGGCAAAGGTTCTACCACTGTCCACGGTGTAATTAAGTCGAGTGGGCACATTTTTGGATCAAATACAACTTTTCGTAGTAAACTCTGTTTGTCATAATGGACGTTCAAAAATGTTAGTGTACTTGGAGGATGCTCGACTGATGTCAACCTTTCACATTGTGACAAACTAAGTAATTGAAGCCTGGGAAGTCTTCTCACACAAATGGGAAGGGAAGTAATGGGATTATTATCTAAACGTAATTCCTTTAACATGACCAACCAACTAAATTCCATTGGAAAGGATTCCGTGGACAAATTATTATTTACAAGGGATAACTTTACTAAAGAGATGGGCAAAGAAATCGTAAAGAACTGGGAATCACTTGGTATGTCCTCATGAATGGTGGAGGAAGATAACTTTTTGTTTATGTCAATGATGTTAGCCTTGATCATTTCTGGTGAATCCATATCTCTAATCTCAATGTGAGAACTACCAAGATTACAACCCTCCAGCAATAGTGTTTTAAGCTTCCTTAACATGCCTATGTTAAGTTTTTCAAGCTTTTTGCAGTAGCTTAGATCAATATACACAAGTTCAACACATTCCTTAATTGATTCACATATCTCAACCAACTCATTGCAATTAGTAGCTATTAATCTCTCAAGTGCAGGGAGTTCTACAAAGCCAACCAGACTAAGAAGCCGTTCACAAAAACTTAAATTAAGAATTTTTAGAGAGCCAAACAACCTTTTGTCTTTTGAAGACAAGCCAAGTAACTCCTGAAATGGGGATAAGTTAGAATAGTAGTGAATGTCATCAACTCAACATTGATGAATATAAAATGGACTTGAGTTACCTTTTTTCTACTCTGGAGTTGTTGTGGATTACTATACCAAATGACAAATGATTCAAAGTTGCTATAAGACATGTCAAGAGCAACAAGATTATCCATCGGTAAGTTTGAAGGTATACATTTTGAAGGGAACCCATGCATACACAACCATCTTAATTTTTTTGAAAAGTTCTCGTAAGACTCACTGATTTGCACATAGTTGAGTTGTAAGAGCATTAGATTATTCATCTTACTCAATGCTTCCGTTTTCAACTCAAATGATCCATGTAATTTCTCTTTCTTAATCATTCTCGTGTCAAGGGTGAGGCCTAGAATATTTTCCTTACCCTATTAAGAAAGAGATGCCAAAAACAAAATAATAAAATTGATATCCACTCTAATAAATCAAAATCTTTTTGTCACATCTCACACTCTCATTAATTTGACCACATGTCATTTTATTGTTATGTTCAATTAAAATTTTTCCACATGACATTTTGTGTTTTTTTCTATTTTATTAAATTTTACATAATATTAAAATATAATAATTGTAATAAATGTAATAATAAATACATTTCAATTTTAGTAATTGGTTTTTCTTCTAATTTCAACATATCTAAATTAAAACTTCACTATTTTTCTTTGTTTTTTTTATCTAAATCGTTTGTTTAAATTTAAAAGAGAAAAAAAAACACTTTAATTTTAATAATTCAATATTTTTCTAAATTTTCTTATAAATTCAAACTTTTTCAAATGCTTTGAATTTTCATATTTATTCTTTTTTAAATGAACTCATGTAATACATGGGTCTTACACCCCGTGTATATATATATATATATATATATATATATATATATATATATATATATATATATATATATATTAATTATTTTTAACATATATAATTAAAACTGACAAGTATACATGGAGTCTTACCTTTTTTTGTTTCAACACTTTAAATGAATCCTCATGACACCATAATCTACTTCGCTTCCATGGCTTGTTAGGTGATTCTTGATGCACTAAAACTCTTCCCATTTCCCGAAGCAACCCATGCATCATCAATTCGTTATTTGATGTGATATCAACAAAACATTTGTCAATGAGATTCATGATCCCATATTTTGTTTTTATATCGCAAGCCTTTAATATTGTTTCAGTAAAATCTCTATCTGTGCCAACAAAAAAACATGCGATATGCTTAAACAACTCTTTATCATTTTCAGAAGGCAAAGAGTCAAAGCTTTTTCTCAAGACATTGTTTATAGGTGAGTTGTTTTCTTTCTTTAGCCCTTTCAGGAATTCTTCCCAGTAAAATACATCTCGGTTATGCAGAGACTTTCCCAAAACTTTAAGAGCCAATGGATGTCCTTCACAATACTCCACAAGTTTTTCTAGGACGTCTTCGTATCCTGCCTTGGGATTGTTGGGCACGCACGTATTAAAACACAAAAGTTGTTTTGATTGACCCTGTAATAAGCCTTGAAGCAAGTGCTTTTCATGTGTGGGCTTAATGTTCGCTTTGAATAGTACACAACTCTCTGTCAACCATGCATCCTTTGTTGTTATTATAATCTTGCTTTCTGGATGTAAACCTTTGCTTCCAAGTAATGCATCCAACTGGTCAAGACTATCAACATCGTCAAGAACGATAAGCACTTTTTTATGGGCTAATGCATTTTCTATCTTTAAGGTGTATACAGAAACATCATGAACTTGTATTGAACTTCTTTTAGAAATTTCATCATAAAGTTGTTTTTGTAAATCAAGCAACCCATTATATTTTTCTTCACATCTTCTACTTATATCTTCAATAAAGCTACTTGTTGCGAACTCATCACAATGTAACCCATAGACATATTTAGCTAAAGATGTCTTTCCTATACCACCCATACCCAAAATAGTGAGTATGTCTGCCGTATGCGAGGATGTATCTTTCAACCATGAAGTGACGAACTTCTTAGAATCATCCCTCCCAATGAGTAGTGGCAGAGGAATCCTTGAGGATATGCGTAATCTGTGGTAGACGTCCTTAGCAATTTCTTCAATAAACTCGGTCTCTCCCCTGAAACCTAATTTTAATTACAACCATAGAATACAATCCAAAATACTAAGATGCCAAATATTGAGATTTAATCCATCATAAGATGAAAATCAAATTTCTTTCATATGAAGTTGTTATGTTTGGTTAAGTTATATCATATTTTTATTTCGAACCATATAAGTGTTTGTTATGTAAGGCCATAAAATTATGTATAGTGAGATTAGAACCATTAAGTAATGCAAGATTTCACTATTGGGGCACTGAATCTTAGTATGTTTCATTAGTTTCAAGAAGTACATACACACTAAAATATTTTGGAGGTTTTGCATGAATGTAAACAACATGTAAGATTATCATATGCAACTTAAAAGCAGAATTATTTTGGTTCTGATTAAATGACTTATGATATTATTATAATCCTTAGAATAAATTACATGAATGATAGCTATGGTTTGGTGTAATTTGCATGTCTGGTCCCTAACTTATTTTTTTAACTTGGAAGGTCCCTAATGTTTGTTTTTGTTGCGTGTTTGATCCCTATCTTACCTAAAAAGATTATTTTGCCCTTGATTTTTTAATTTATCTAAATAATGTGGGTTAGCTAAGGTAAGATAAGGTGAGGTGGAGATAAGGTTAGGGGTGTGTGTTTGTTTAAATAAATTAAAAAATAAGGGCAAAATAGCCTTTTTAGATAGATAGGGACCAAGCGTGCAACAAAAACAAATAGTAGGGACCTTAGTTAGACACTGAATGTACAAATTATCCAAAACCATAGGGATCATTCGTGTAAGTTACTCTAATCCTTATGATTCAAAGATAGTAATGATATACTAATATATTCATAATAATATACTCAACACGACGTGGCGTTATGGTTTTGACCCGCGAAGTTTAATGAACCAACACGGCGCGTTGGGGTGTCCTAACATGGTGTGTTGGCTGCTGAGAATGAAACCCTACTTTGTAGGGTGTTGCACCTTATATAAAGGCCTTAAGTCCTCTTAACTAGCCTCCTTACCAGCCTCCTTTGCTATTAAAACCCTAAATCGAGCATTGAGCTTTCTTGGAGGTGTTCTTGAGCTTTGATTGGATTCTTGTGGACATTATTTCTCTTTTGAAGGAGCTTTGGAGATTGAAGGTACCGATCTTCGAAGGAAATTCATAGATCTAGAATCTCTCCACTTGTTGCAGTGTCTTTGAGGTATCAAGTGCATACCTTGTCTTGTTGTTGATTAGATCTCCTCATAGAGGGTTTTGTTATGTTTTGGCTCTTTTTTTTGAGTTGTCTGAGGAGTTAAGTCGCTTTTTGGGTTTGCCCTATAGATCTAAGCTTTATGCGGTCTCCTTTGGCAAAAAGGTGCAAGATTTATAAGATTCTAGGTCACATGCATGCATTAAGCTCTTTATTAAGCCCTTCTTAAGCTTTAGAGCTTCTCTTAAGCATGTATGAACGTAAAGTTGGCAACTTTACATGGTTTTCCAGCTCTAGGGTGTCAGATTTGCATTTTGGGGCTAAATAATTGAAGATTAAGTGCTTAATGGTTCAACCTTCACTCTTTTAAGCCTAGGGTTTAGGTTTTGGACCCATTTCGGTGATTCCTAGCTCATTTTGGTTGACAACTGAGCTTTGGAGCTCTTGGAGTCGATGTAGGCAGCTTAATGTATTAAGTTGTTGGATCCCAGGCCGACACGACGTGTTTGTAGGTCAACACGGCGTGTTGACTTGGATTTTCCCGACTTTGTGGATAATGGAGAAACGTCGCGTGTTTGCAGGACGACACGGCGTGTTGGGTCAACATGGACTGTTGACCTTAACTTTTGACTTTTGACTTTTGTATTTGACCAAGTATGACCTAAGGGGTACTTGAGGTAATCTGAGTTGTATCTAAGGATTAGTCACTATTTGTCAATTAAGTGACGGGTACAACTAATATCCGGAGTCAAGACCTATTCAATTATCGTTCGGATTTCAAGGTGAGTTACCTCACCGAGTTTAACAGGTTGAAGGCACCAATGCTGACCCTTCTTGTTTATGTTAGGATGCTAGGAGTATCCGTGACCCTTGCATGTGTTATGTACTACTATGTATGTCGGGCGGGGCTCGATGTCGGGCAAGGCACGATGACTGGAATGTATGCTAATGTTTTATGATATTATATGCGCTATCATGATTGTGTTATATGTATTGCATGCGTATAGTTGGTGAGGCCCGATGTCAGGCGGGGCCTAACAATAATACATATGTATACCAAGCAGGGTTCGATGTCGGGCGAGCCTAATGGAAGGCAGGGGCCCAATGTATGTTTAATTATGTATGGTATGGGGTAGTTTGGGGAACTCACTAAGCTTTGTGGTTACGGTTTTCAATTTATGTTTTATGTACTTCCGGATCCAAAGGGAAGAGCTCAGGTTGACTGCATCGCACACACCATATGGATTCTACATTTCGGATTTCATTCTGATATTTGTGATATTGATACACTTGTTTTTATTTGAGATGTTTGGATTATGTTTGGGAAACAATTTTACTTAATTTAAAAATGAAATATTTGGATCATATTTTTGGGACATTACAAGTTGGTATCGGAGCCTTGGTTTGAGGGATTCGAGCATACTTTTGGGTGTGTCTGAACTCAAACTAAGGATTTGGTAGAATTTTCAAATAGAAAATGTTTTATAAAATCGGTTTTAATAAAATAAAAAGGTTGTGGTGCATGCAATCGACCGAGCTCAAGTAAGCTTTCCCAAATTACCCATACAAGTTACCTGATATGATTTGATATGTGAATCTGTGAATCGTATGCTAGTTTGGGCTAATGATATGCTCAGTTTTGCATGATAGTATGCTAGGAGAGATGCCTTTGTATGCATGTTGCATGAGCCTGTAGAATTGCATGCTAGTACTAATTATTCAGTGATTGAATGGCCTAATTAGGTTATGTATGATTCAGATGACTTGATGCTCGAATGATGCATGCTTTGTGCTTTAGGAATTCTTACTAACCTCAGCTAACTAGTAAGCGAATATGCTAAGTTACATATTATGGGAACTAAATAATTTTAGAAGGTTAGGTTTTAACGTTATTGCCCAACTCTTGTTTGAGTCCTAACCGTTGTAGGCTGAGTTCTCTCATTCGAAGAATTATCTAGTTTTAGTAATATATAATAGTATTCGTAAGCTACTTAGAGGAAGTTAACGAGAGTTCTTTCTGTAGTTGATAGCGGAGAGTGGTGTGGATGTTGCCTTAGGAAAACCTAGGATGAGATATAATGTTGGGAGCCTTATTAGCGAGAAGTGAATTGGTGGAGTTAAAGCAATCATTGAGGAAAGTAAGGACAGATGTGGAAGGTAGTATGGGCCTGTACTACTGAAAGCAGAGGATCCGTACTCGATTCAAGGAAGATTGCGATGAGATCGGGGAACTTGTATATGTGTTGGGATGTGTATTCTGATGGTTTATATGGTATATTTTCAGTATGGTGACATTGCAAGGTAGGACAACTGGCAGCTTTGGTGCTGGTGAGGGATCATGCTCAGGATCTAGAGTCGGATAGCTCGATGAGAAGACGAGGGAGTTCATTGTGTCCGAGGTTACGCGTATTATTTTAGAACAGAATCATGTGATCTTTGGCACGGTTAAGGAGGATATATTGGAGTTGTTAGACGAGCGATTGAGCGCGTTTCGTGTGGAGACGGTAGCTTTGATGGGAACGCGTTCTTTGACATTCAGAGAGTTCCAGGTTTGTGGAGCTCCGGATTACCATGGGGTGAAGGATCCCATTGTGAGCAGGTGGTGGTTCGCAGATGTTGTTAACGCTTTCCACACAAGTCGTTGTACCGAGGGGGACAAGGGCAAATTAGCTTCTTGCCTTTTGAAGGACAGGGCATGCGACTAGTAGGAGGAAGTACGACATGCGCTGGGTGATGATGTGGTTGATGTGATGATGTGGGATGATTTCTCGACTCAGTTCCAAGCCGAGTTTTCACCAGTAACCGAGGTGCAACAGTTGGCACGGGAGTTCCAGGATCTCCGCTAGACTTCGGAGATGTTGGCTGAGATCACTGCTATGTTCAGGAAGAAGCGCTTCTGGTTCCACAGTATGTGGCAGACGAGGAGATGATGAAGGCCAGATATCATGAGATGCTGAGGAGCGACATTCGACAGTTTGTGAGTCGATTCAGCTGTAAGACGTTGTAGGACATGATTGAGCGAGCCAGGGAGAGGGAGATAGATCTGGAGATGGAGAAGATGAGGAAGCTAGAGGCCCAAGGTATCAGATACCGGATCAAAAGGCCATCAGGGCCGTAGTCGATGCGGGAAATGCTACAGGACGCACGAGGAGCCGTGCAGGGTGGGTAGATTTGGCTGCTTCAAGTGCGGCCGGACGGGTCATTATAGCAGGGATTGTACGGCTACCACCACACAAGGATCAGATATGATTTGCTTTCATTTTAATCAGAGGGGCCACAAGAAGGCCCAATGTCCGACTTTAGCAGCAGGAGGACTGTTGTCGGTACTCATTCGTGCGACACTGAGGATTACTGACGGTCGCCAAGGCTAGGCAGATGCACCAGAGAATAAGAAGAATAGCATATGAGGAAGAGCAATATATCTTTGTTACTAATACGTATTGTAACTTCTAGTTTTGATTTTAGTGGGTGGTTTTTTTGCTTCACATCATTTTTTTTCTTATTAGGCCGGAGGGTGTGTGGGTGAAGATTTCCTCACTTTTTGTCTGCAACGCCATCATTTCTCTAACTTTTCTTTCCTTCACTAAAAACCAAGGTGTCTGTCGGAAGCTTCATTCACTTTTTTTTTTAAAATAGTTGATTTTTACGATTTATATTTTTTTTTAAATGACTAATAAACATAAAAATTAATTAAAAATAAAAATTATTTCATTAATTAAAATAAAAATTACATATAAAACTAAGATTTAAATAACTAGAAGGAGGTGTGGGTAGGAAGCGTAAATTGTGTGGGTATTTATAGATGTGGTAAAGGTTATATATATATATATATATATATATATATATATATATATATATATATATATATATATATATATATATATATATATATATATGAGGCGGTCTAATTTTGTGAGACCGTGAGACGCATTTTTTTATTTTTTTATTTTTTTTAATTAATTCAATTTCCGAAAATAATATTTAAAAGAAGAATTTTTGAATTTTTTTCATTTATTTTGCATTTTAAAATTATTTTTTAGAATATGTACAGTGTAACATTTTATTAGAATATTTCACGTATTTAAAAAAAAAAAGAATTTTTTATATATATATATATTTTTTAATTCAAGTTCCGAAAATAATATTTATAAAAAGAATTTTTAGTTTTTCCATTTATTTTGCATTTTAAAATTATTTTTTAGAATATGTCAGTGTAATATTCTATTAGAATATTTCACGTAATTAAAAAAAAAAAAACGAGATTTTTTTATTTTATTTTTATTTTATTTTTATTTTTTTTAGTTAATTCAAGTTCCAAAAATAATATTTAAAAAAAAAAAAAAAAAAATTTTTTGGATTTTTCCATTTATTTTGCATTTTAAAATTATTTTTAGATTTGGTCTCACGGTCTCACGGTCTCACAAAATTAGAATGGTTTCAAATGAACCTGATATATATATATATATATATATATATATATATATATATATATATATATATATATATATATATATATATATATATATATATATATATATGAATTTTGGGCTTTTTAGCTGCTGAATAAGTAAAACAAATAAATTTTAAATTTTTTTACGGTTTTTTATCGGTTACCTTATCCCCATCTTTTTTTTTTTTTTTTTTTTTAGATGTTTGACTATTACTTTTTTCATGGCTTTTACGTTCTTTATTTCCTTTTGATATCAATGTTTTGTGTTGGATATTGGATTATGAGGAAGAAACTAGTGTTGATTTTATGTTTCATTTAAGGATGAAATCAATGTATAATTTAAGGATGAATTGGTGTTTGATTTTGGTTTTAAATTTAGTTTAGTTTTTTGGTTGATTTTCCAAGCAGGGTGGTCACTGATCGGTGGTTGGTGGTCGGTCGTCGACCTAGAGGTATTTGTTTTGATGGATCAGTTCGCTCATATCTGTTAACGTTTTTTTTAGTAAAAGCGAAAGAATAGTTTGCTTTGTTTTTACCACATGGTTGCGTGAGATCCGATCAAGTTAATCCAATTTGATTCTGATTTTCAAAACATGGATTGATATAGTTCAAACTAAATTCAAATCCGATCCGAACCAGTCTAATTATAATTCAGTCCATTCGATTTTAGAGTTCGGTTGTTAAGAGTCTGGAACATTTTAAAAAATATAACATGCATATTAGACCGCTCGATAAAAAAAAACATTAACATATTGATTAATTCTAAATTAAAAACTATAAGCAAGTACTAAACATATATTTTAATTTAATATTTAACGGATAAAAAACTTTTGAGAAAAAATCATATTTATATTTTTTATTAGGCTTAGTAAATTAACAAATGATTACAAATAAGTATTATAAATTAAATATATAAGCATAAAATAACACATAGTCAAATTTTCATCAATTTAGTTTTTGTTTTATAAACCAATGTCAATCCAAAAATAATTTGTTTTTTTGAAAATCAATACAAATATTCAAATTGTCTAATCGGAGAATTCGTTTTTATCAAAATTATGAACAACCATACTGGTGAGTGGGCTTTGTTGATATTAATATTAATAAAAATTGAAACCATTAATAGAAAAAAAAAATAAAAGAATAAAAAGGAAAACTAAAAAAAAATAACGAAAGGTTATAATATTCATTTCATGTTTAGTATTAACTAAACCTCAAACAAAATCAAACTACGGGATGCTTCAACTTAAAAAAAAAAAATAAAAAAAAAAAAAAAAAGAAAAGAAAGAAAGAAAGAGTTACGGACCATACACGCATGTAGACTACCCAAAACACATGGTCATTGGTCCTTTAGTGTAATTTACTCTAATTAAAATTTGATTTTATCATAAAATATGTCTGACAAAATAAAAATGGTGAGCCTTTATGGCCTTATCGGATTTAAATGTTTGAATCATTTGATTTATCAGATCACATGATTGAAAAATAGATTCAACTTTGATGCATTTGATTAGTCCAATTTAAAGATACAAAATATATCTTTGTCTAACATTAAGCATAGCATTTAGAGAAGACTGACACATGTGTTAATTAAACAAAGTTGAAGGATGCGTGTCTAAATATGGGTAAGAAATATTTTACCTGCCATCTATGCTCATCCCTTTCAAATCAGCAACTATGGTAAGCGCTTGGATCCATCGGTCGATCTTTTGAGCCCATTGATTTCTTCTATTTGCATTTGTCTCAGCCTTCATCACCCTTCTATGCTTAGCAATTGCATCTGCGAAGCTACTTTGTTGCTTCCGAACATGGGTGGGTTCAACATGATAGAAGATAGGGATGACGATATGGTTGGAGATCATACGTTCCCTAAGGATCAGTACCAATTCATCAAGACACCATGATGAGTTAGCATAGTTCTTGGATAACACGATAATAGAAGCTCTAGATTCTTTAATCGCGCTTTCCAATTCCGGTTTCAGATCTCCTCCGGTTTCAATCTCTTCATCATCCAAAAAGGTAGAGATATTGGCACCCAGGAGGGCCTTATGGAGATGATCAATGAAACTATGACGAGTATCGGCACCTCGAAAACTTAAAAATATGTCATATTTTTTATCATTTGTAGATGATGAAGATGATCCTTCACTATATTCTGAGAGAACAACCATAATGAATGATGAGAAGGTATGAGTACTTTGACACTAGATTTACAATCAAATGAAGGGTAAGCGATGGTTTTTGTAATGGACAAAAAGTTTTAAGTCAACAACTACTTTTGATAAAATACACCTTGTGGAATTTTCTTGGAAACTTATAAGAATTAGAAATAATAGATTACTAATTAAGAGACGTGTCCAGCCGTCCAGGTAGTTCACTTGCATAAGTTATGCAAATATTATTTATATAAAAGACAGAGCTTTCCAAAGCTATAAATTATATATTTATAATATATATTCTTCTCGGATATAAACTATGCAATAAGATAATGTTAGAATATTTTGAAAACGACTGAATTACAAAACTTGCCTTTGCCAAACCTAGTATATATGATGGTTTAACGAGTTCCAAATTATATATATTTTTTTATATGATCATCTTATCTTTTTGTCTAAATCTCCATATTTTCCTTACAAAATCATCATTTTAAATTGAAACATACATAAACAAGAGAGTTACAGACCAAGATTAGCTGAATGGAATGATTTCAATAACAATAATATATACTACAATATAGCACGGGCATAATATTGGACTATACACAATTGGGCTACATATAATAAGCATGGGCTAATCTAATATAGACTAATACGCCCCCGTAGTTTGAGGGGGAGAGCGATCTCGGAAGCAAAGACTGGATTGGAAATCTGAAAAGAGCATAGATGGAACTCCCTTCGTGAAGATGTCTGCAAACTAATGAGAGGAAGGGACATGAAGCATGCGAATTTGTCGTGGCCACTTTTTTCTGAATAAAGAGAATTCCAATCTTAACATGTTTGGTACGCTGATGTTGAATGAGATTGGTGGAAAGATAGAATGTGCCGACATTGTCACAGTTGACAATGGTGACCTTCGCGAATGGGTAAGAAGTTCTTGTAGCAAGTTGTGAAGTCAACTTGTCTCTGCAATGGTATTAGTGACACCTTTGTATTCTGTATCGGCACTGGAGTGCGATACGGTACGCTGGTAGTTGGACGACTATGAAATAAGATTGTTGCCGAGGTAGATATAGTAACCACTATTCGATCGACGAGAGTCGGGCATCCAATCATCATCAAAATAAGCAATGAGGCCTATAGTGGAAGAGGGATGAATTTGTAAGCCATAGTCAAGAGTACCTCAAATGTATCACAAGATACGCTTTAAATCATGAAGATGAGGTTCGTTAGGGTCATGCATGTATAAGCATATCTTTTTGACCACAGAAGAGATGTCTAGACGTGTAAAGGTGAGATATTGTAAGGCAACTACAAGGCTCCAATCTAAGATAAGATCTGACACTAGACCATAAATATCCATCTTTGCCTTAGAATAGGTTGGGGATGCAACATGGATTACACGTCGACATAAAATCACACTCTAGAATGTGTATTTGCGCTAAGAAAGGAAACACACATGTCTGATGTAACGTCCCAAAAATCACGGGGTAAAAATTTCACTTATAATGTAACCAAAACATGGTTACCATTTCATTCAAACCTTTGAATCATAGTTAATCAAATTGTTTATCAGAGTTTATCCCAAAATCCTTCATTGCGGAAATCATAGGTGTGTGTGCATTGCGATCAATTCGAGCTCCCCTTTTCCAAAATGATGATACCTGAAACCATAAACAAACCTGTAAGCACAAAGCTTAGTGAGTTTACAAGAGCATACCATTCACACAACCACATATCACATATCCTGTTAGCTATAAAAGCTACCCATATACCACGTATACTGTTAGCTATAAAGCTACACACATATCACGCAAGCCATGCATACATAAAACCTGTAACAGTGCCATGGGCTACCCCACATGGTCTTTACCTAGGACTGCCATGGGCTCCCCCACATGGTCTTACATCCAATGCCATGGGCTACCCCACATGATCTTTACCTAGGACCACCATGGGCTACCCTACATGGTCTTACATCCAATGCCACGGGCTCCCCCCGGGGTCTTCCTTGCAAATCCCATAAATAACCAAATAGCATATCATGCATCACATAAACATCTACACATAATATGCACATAAATCTGTAAGGATGTCGTGGGCTACCGCCAGGGTCTTATACCATTATGCCATGGGCTACCCCACATGGTCTTCTATGCAAGTATCACAAAGATAACTAGCATATCACATATCACATAACTACTGGCATACCACCTAGCATAAAGCTAACTATCATATCAAACAACATAAGATGGGCTGGCCTTGGTGCCTTAGACCCATTGGTATGGTGAGAAGACTCACCTGCAACTGCCAGCTGAAGAAATAGGATCACGCTGCTCCAACCACCGACACGAACTCCTCCACTGGTCAACTCCCCCAACTAAACTCAATAAATACCAATCATTACCAAAATACCTCTGGAAGTCAACTGGTTAACCCTTGGTCAAGGTCAAAGTCCTAAGTCAAAGTCAACCTTCCAGGTTGACCCTACTCGCCGAGTCAACCTGCTGACTCGTCGAGTTCCCATACTCAAAACTCCCATGTCACGACCCAACTCGCCGAGTTCATCAATCTCTGAGTCCCATCCTGTTCAACTCACCGAGTCGTCCCACGACTCATGGCTTAACCAGAAAAGGTTATGGTTCCATGGCCAGACTCGCTGTGTCAAAGAACAAACTCGCCGAGTCTCAGGCAATCTTCATCCGACTCGACGAGTTGTTCATCTCACTCGTCGAGTTCCTCCTAATCTTCATGCTACTTGCCAAGTCCACTCAAAGGACTCGCCGAGTCCGTTCAGTTCTTCATACATGCAAAGGCCTTTTGAGTCATGCTTGGACTCCAAACTATAGATCTACCCTTCCCAAGCCTATTCCTCACGTAAAGTTGCAAACTTTACGTATAGAAAAGGAGATCTAGGCTTAAATCACCATAAACTAGAGTTTAAGACACAGAGGCTCTATAATCAACTCAAGGACAGTTACTTTATGCTTCTCTAGTCCAAGATATGCTTAGATCTGAAGTAGCAGCTTCATATTTGAGCTTCTAACCCGAATTGATTCTTAAACATGGCATAAAAGCCCCAAATCTCATAGCAAAGTAGATCTAGATGAAAGAAACAACTTAATACCTTCAAGTGCTCTGGAAAGTCCCTCAAACTTCTGATCTACTGCAATTCCTTGAAGCCCAAATGATTCCTTCCTTCCTTCTTCCCTTCAATTTACCCAAAAATGGCAAGATACTTGAATGAGTAAAGATGGGGGCTTAGGGTCTCATACTCTGGATGAAAGAGGCTCTAAGGAACCCTAATGGAGAGAATAAGGAGTTTAAATAGTACCCACAGTCACGAATTCAGGGTTTTCCTCTTCAGACACAACTCGTCGAGTCCACGAGCCGACTCGCCGAGTTGGTCACTTACTCGATCCCTCGGATCCCGCTCCGACTCGTCGAGTTCCTCTCTGGACTCGACGAGTTGGCCCTTTGACTTAGGGTTTTCTTTCCTTTCTTGGACTTTCTGATCTTGGGTGTTACAAATCTCCCCCACTTAAACTAAACTTCGTCCTCGAAGTTTGCTATGGCCAACTGTACAATAATCTGCCTCTGACACTCTGTCTGGGAAAACTAACACCCGCTGACTACCTCTGCTGACCTTCCGCCCAATCATGCTGGATGACATAACCCTCACAGATAAACTTCCTCTATCCTTGGTGAAGAACATACCCTTCACAGCGACCATCACTCCAGCCACTCTCGGTGCTGGTCACTACTGCCGATAGTACCGAACTACCTGAGACACTGAACTTGCTATATGGCTGCTTCCCAAAATATCTCGAGACATTCCTGATCTCCAACCATCCGTCGGTTATCTGCAACACCGAGTTCCAACTCAACTGTGGAGTCCAAGGACTCCTCACTCAGTCGCTCCTACGACTTCTAAATGAAGTCTTTCGCTGGAACCAGTTTCCACTAGTTATCCTGTCACTGTGGCCCTAACAACCTCCCGCTACTACGAAACTGCTTTTCTAAAGAACTACGGGGACCTCCCTAGTCCTGACTTGACTGTCAACCATCCGAAGCACTGGACACCTTCCCGATTGTTGAGCCAGAGACACATGCTCCACATTCCCACACGACCTCCGAAGGACACCTCGTCTGACAACGACTGCCTTGGAGATATCTTTTCTCTCGACTCCTTCACTCCCTTGATCCATCCGATCATGATAGGCTGACAACCCTTCCCCACTGAATACGACACAAAAATGAATGCCACAAGAACAACTGTGGTCTTACATCATACCCGACCTCCCTTGACCTGTCTTTTCCTAGTTAGACGTGTCGTGGTCCCATTACTGATATAACCAACTCGATTCACACTCTGATGGCTTGAGCTACCATCAACCACACTCATTCATTACCCTTGTATCCTGCATTAGATGCCCTTGTCACCTTATGCTCCCAATCTCATCTTACTGAAATAAAATCCTGCACTGAACATGCACGAGCCCTGATTCGAAATCCTTTCCGAATCCAGTTGACACCCCGCCACTATGTCGAGGTTCATAATACACCATAACTTCTAACGTCCCCTTCATGGCCGATAGAAAATCACCCTTAGCCGATCCCTGAGACTATCAGCCTCTCATCTGGTCCAACCACCAGGTGATCAAAAACAAAGACTTCCCAGCCGTAGCCATACGACATCACGTGCCACTTATCCACAAGGTCCTGCAACTCGAGGTCCACCCTTGACTCAACAGTCTCTACCATTTCCATTCTGAAACCCCATACCCATTCATGCTCGCCCATGGATAATCCATCAAATAACCCATCTGATCCTGACTCTACCTAAGTTATGGCTTTCCCACGACTTTGCGAACTGGTCCACCGTAGACCCAATTGCTCGAATAACTCATGAATGCTATGGCTACCCCGTAGTCTTACAACACTCCCACCGTGACTATCCATTAGTGAACGCTACGGCTCCCTCGTAATCTTACAACACTCTCGTAGTGAATGCT